TGGCTCAGGAAACGGGCGCTTCCCCCAGCTGGGACGCAGCCTTGCGGGCCTCCCTCTGCGACCCTCCTTCCAGCACAGAGCCGCTCATGTTGACCTACCCAACCTCTTCTCACCAGGCACAGTTGAAGGGAGATGTTCTCCTGGGCATGGCTCAGCCAACATTCCTGGCGTTCGACCGGTGCTCCAAAGTCACCCTGGTCACACACAATGCCATTTCTCAGCAGGATGTCAGTGGAGGGAGGTTCAGAAATGCTGACAACACTCCAGACCTCCTCTTCCCAAGCCATGCCCCCATTTGAGACTCCCTCTCCATCGCCCAATCCTGCAGGGCTGTTCCCCGTGTTGGAATATGGCTGGCATGGGGTCAGTGCTGGGGTCTGACTCTGGAGACAGGGGCTCATTGCTCTCATGCATTGGTCATAGGTTAGGTAGGGTGGGCTCATGCTGCAATCAAGCTAGCTCCCTGGCCCAGCCCCCGCCTCCCATGGTACAGCAAGCTCTTGTCAGACGTGTGCAGAGATGCCCCCTGTGAATAATGGGAGCTGCCATGAGGATCGGTGTTCCCCCGCAGAACAGTTCACAGGGCAGCTAGGCGCCAGGGGCCTTAGAGTTGGTGTACTCACCAGATAGCTTTGGTGAAGAATCTGAGAGACGTGGACCCTGTGGCAGGGGGCGTCTGAATCCAGTGACATCTGGATCTCAGAGCTTGGAGCCTGGTACAGCAAGGGGTGGAGTGTGACCCATGGGGAAGTGGAGGAAATAGAAGTTAAAGATGCTAGGGACTCCCTCCCAGCTGGGGTCTCTGGCACTGATCCCAGCTGACCGAAGCAATTCTTCAGTTCTGAGCTTTACGATCAACAGCCAGCCTGACAGTAAGAGCCAATGGCGGGGGGAGACCAGGTCCTCAGCCCTTGGTAGGGATGGGGCTCTCCAGCATGACTAGCCACACCTGTGCGCTAGTGCAGCGGCAGAGGCCGTGCCAACCCGCCCCTGCCAAGAGGGAGCATGGCTCTAAGCCCAGCCTTTCATCTCCCCCAAGCCAGAGCCCAGCCCAGTAGCCCAGTCCCTGAATGGAGTTTAGATTAGCCTAGACTGGGAGCTAGTCCCCACCCACCGGCCCCAGCTAGCTAGTCCAGGCTCTCCAAGAGCTCTTACCATGGTGGGTTCTGCCCTAAGGCCTAGGTCAGAGTCCAGCTAGGCCAGAGCTTGGTGCCAGGGCGTTGCCGTGGTTCCCTGCTCCTAGGGCGGCACCCTGATTCCAGCCCGGCTCTCCTGTGCTCCAGCAGCCCTGTCTAATGCTCCCCCTCCAGCCTGTACACACGGCCCTCAGCCTCCGCCCCTTTGTTGCCCTCCCGGGATCTCGGCGCCCCTCCACCCCCACCCTTTGCCTATGCCTAGGCCTGCTGGCTCCCTCCCTTCCCCATCTTCTCCCATGTAGCCTCCAGGTCACCCCGTCTCCTCTCCTTCCCTGTGTGTGCGGCCATCTGGGCTTCTCTCATGCTCTCTGCTCCCCACACCCCCAGCTCACTCTCTCTGGTTGGGGTGGAGGGGTCTTTTTTGTTCTGTGCATGTCTAGCTCTTGCCATGTGAGCTCCTTGCTTGGTCTCCCTGTGCATGCAGCTCATTCAGCCCGCCTCACCGTCCTGGGTGTCTTTCCTTGTACACTTTTCTCTGTCTAGCCCTGTGTGCCCGGGGGTGGCGATGTCCTTACTGCTGAGCGTGTCCATTCTGGGTGTCACAGTCTCTCCATGTGTGACTACAAGCATCTCTGTGGAGGGGTCAGAGCGTGCACACACCTCTCTGTGCACACAAACATCTAAGTGTGTCCATCCCCGCACATATGTCTGAGCGCTCCTGTCTGTGACTGTGTGTCACTAACCCTCCCTGTCCCCAAGTATGTGTCTGTTGTGTGTGTCACTATCTCTCCCCCTTCTGGAGGTGTCTGTCACACACATGTGCACTCACAGACACACCCTGTTGTGACAGCCTGAATCACACGCTCGCTCTCTCCTGAGGAATCCTATTGCCATTCTCTGACCTTGCCGCCTCCAGCCAGCAACACTGCTGAGAAAGTTCCTGCTGCCCTTCAGCTCTCGACCTAGAAATATCCCAGTGACTGGAACTGTGTGCTGGGATCCAGTAGCCGAGTGCAGGCCCTTTATGCAGCCACAAGCCTCTGCTCCCCGAGTCCCTCCAGAGAAGCTGCTCTCCTCAGCTCCTCGCAGGTTTCATAGCCTGGAGACTTTCCCACGGGGTGGGGGGCCTTCTCCGTCCTCCAAACTCAAGACAACATTTTCTGCCCTAAATCAGATACACCCTGGTCAGAGCACGAGCAGAGCTGAGGATGGCAGCTGATGCCCGTCTTCGCGCAGAGGGGGCCCCGCCGAGCCTGCAGACCCTGCTCCAGTACAAGCACGGAGCCCACGGATGAGATCGGGGTCCTGGACCACTGAGGGCTTGCACCCCCGATTCTCCACATGCCACAGCCAGCCTCTTCTGCCAGGAGATTCCAAGCCCGCGACAGGGAGCAGCAATTGGTACAACCTGCCTCCTACTTCTGAGAAGCCAACTCCCCCCTCACCCAATTCCGCACAGTGGTACAGTCGATTCCTCGCTTGGGAGACGGGCTGCAGCACCTCCACCCGCTACACACTCTGGGCAGGGTCCAGCCCCACACCAGGGAGAGTCTTGGCCCCTAGGCCCCAGCATGCCGCTCATTAGACTAGCAGGTGGCAGCAGTGTGACCATGTCCCCGTCCTCCCCTGCACCCCTCCTCCCATAACCACCCCCTGCACCCATCACCTCACTCTCCTCCTACCACCCCATCATCCCCCTACCACCCCTGACCCACCTTCACATCATCCTCTCATCCTTTATCTATCCTCCAGCCACCCCCGACCTATCACTCTGCCTTTCCTAACCCCATCATCCCACCCTCCTCCAACCACCCACTGCACCCAGACACCCAGTATCCTGCCACCCAGCTCCAACCATCCTAACACCTATATCCTGTCACCCTCCTCCAACGTTCTTCTCCTCCCATCCCCATGCCCCTCTCAGCAGCTCCCGCCCTGTTCCACCCTCCTGCAAACATTGTTGCCAAACCCCCATCCTCAAACTCTCCCACTGCTTCTCACCCCAGCCCCCTCCTGCTCCCGTGTGCCTGTCTTATCACCCTCCACTCCCCATGCCAACCCCCTCCCTGCTTCACCTTCTTCCCGTTCCCTCCTGTCACCCCGTTCCCACTCTGTTCCCCAGCTCTTCACCCTCCAACCCCCTGCCTTTTCATGCATCCTCTCGCCCATGGCCCTTTCCATCGCTGCGGTGGCTTGCATCTCTCTCTCTTAGTGCTGAGAGCCCTGCACTGGGCACAGAGTCCCACGGAGCCAGCTAACCAGCCTGCCCCGCGAGTGCCCTGGAGAAAATAGTCCTGCACTGGACTTCTGGGAGGGAGAGGTCTGGTCCCCTAACTGTCCCAATATTTAAAGGGAACTCAATGCATGCACACGACCGAATTTACTCCCACGACCCTCGCCCTTCTTGGGCATGCTGTTTGCATGCCCCCATGCACTAGCAAAGGCTGTGTCCTCCTCTGCATTGGTAGTGGGAGCTCACTGGCCCTCTTACCAGGGCCATAGCATAGTGTCCATAGCCATCCACCAGCCTCCTGCCAAGAGAAGCCCAGCCTGGCCCAGCCCAGGGGAATCTCCATGACCACTCTCTCCCAGCTCTCTGTCCACGGCTGATTTCTTCCTAGCCAGGCTTCTAGAACTCTGCCCATCACCCAGCATCTGACTCCCCTCTCCCTGCACAGCTGCTGCTTCCCCAGCATGCTCTCCTGCCTGCCCTTCTTCACATCCGGCCTCCTCTCGCTTCAGCCAATGCCCCAAATTTGCAAGGTCCCTCTGGCGCGTGGCTCCATCACCTCCTTCTGTGGTGTCGTTATACAATTAGTGTGATTAGTGCCAGCTCTCCCTTCCCCTCAGTGTCATTAAGGAAAGCAATCCAGAACAATGGGCCCCTGGGACGGTCAAGCAGAGCCCTGTCTGTGGCCTGAGCCCAGCATCAGAGGCATGACACTGGAGGTAGTGAACCAGAGCCCCTGCAATACAGCACTGAACTGTGGGGTTTGGGACTCAACGCATCCTTTATGTGGCATGCTGTTTATGTCTATGTGGGTTCAGTCCCCAGGGATCTCCAGCCCCTGCATATGGAACGTACGTATGGTATTATTGTCACTCAGCCAGGACCCTGGGTTCCCAGACTCCCCATCACACCAGGAGGCTCTGCAAAGCCCTGGGATCTTGATCACTAATTGCAAATTCTGGCTAACACTGCCTTGCTCATCCCCTCCCCCCCCTCCTGTTGCCATGGCAGCCACAGCTCCAGTCTCTCCATCTCTCCAGCACAACGTCTTGTCTGCCCTTGGCAAGCAGCTCCATCCAACTGGAGCGTCCTCCCCACAACCAGCTCCCCAGCTGCAAGGATGGGATGGGGCACACTGTCCCCTGTCCCCCACCCCAGCCCAGAGAGGGACTCCCTGTACCCTGCCCCCCACACTCCACTGTGTGGACTGACACTCTGTATCCTGCCCCCCCCCCCCGAGAGGGGAGAGACACCCTATAACTGGGAGCGCCCCACAGCCCCTTAGCCCAGAGGGGGAAGGGGTATGGATGCCCTTGTCTCCTGCCTTGGACAGGGCGAGAACCTGTAATGGTCCACACATTGCAGGCAGAGGGGAATCTGCTCTCACTCACACACCTCGCCAAGCCTGTTACATCCCCCACCCTAGCTCCATGGGGCAGGGACGCTGTGTAGCACTCTGTGCCTATGCAGGGGTGGAACTGCCTCCACACACGCAGGAGGAAGAACCAACCCCTCTACCCTGAACCCTGGCCAGGAGAGAACTCTCATTAACTGGATCCTCTGCTGGGGAAGGGGAAGAGGCCCAGGCCCCCTGGCACTTAACCACCTCGTACAGAAGGGAGGCATGCGGCTACCTGATGAGCAGAGGAGACCAGCACCTCATTCTGTAATCTGGAGGGTGGCTGTCTGGCTGCACATTTACAAACATGAAGCGCCACCTACGGGAGAAGAGGGAGAACAGGACAGCAAGTTGGTTCAGTGCCAGGCTGAAGGGGGAAAGGAAATCAAGGGCTTGGGGAAGTTACTGTGCAGCAAGCCAGAGTGTGACTCTACAGCGCGCCAGCTTGTGGCAAGTTGGTGCACTGTGGATTCACACCTAACTTGCCCTCCAAACAAGCTCCCAAGCAACTGCAGTTACTTAGAAACAGATCTGACCCTCAGAGGCTGGATCCAGATTGGAAACAGGATTGTCCCAGAGTTCAGGGCTGTTTGCACGAAGGGTTTTGGCTTAGGCTCATCTCTTCTCCTTGTGGATCACCTGAGATCAAAATGTCTTGATGTCCAAAGGGGTTTATAACTCACCAGGACACTGGAAAAGGCCCAGAGGCTTGAATGCTGCAGCAGAATTTGCTACGTTACCAGTTTACACTGTCCAGGCAAGCTCCCAGCTTGGTGAGGTGCTGGTAGATCATCTAATGACTACCACTTTTCAAGTCTTGGGTCAAGCCCTGAAAATCACCCTGGTTCACAGATCAAGGCCAGTGACCCAAACAGGCAGACACTGGAACATTATTTGCACTAACCACACTACAAATCCATCCACCAACAGCCTAAAGATAGTAATGGGAGCAGAGAGAACCCACTGTTCCATCGGCACAGAAGCTGCCAACTCATGGCCTGCAGAGCTAATCCACACTGGACCCAAGCACCAGCCACTGCAAGCAGCTCTCCTCCAACGTCAGAATACAACAGCTGGGTAAGGGAGGAACTCATTGAGGCAGTACAATTAAATCTAACTGGATGGCATTAGCCACTCCATCACACATGATAAAGCACTTATTTGGGATACTCAAGCCACACCCTATGGATTGGTGTATGCCCTTCTTAGTCGTTCTTCCCTGGCTTTCAGCAGCTGTGTCCACTGCTAACAGAAATTATCAATGTTGTCTGCAGGGTAGCCAGGCTTACGAATTCCCTGAAGAATGCATTAGTCCAATTCTGAAAGCTTGAGGCAGAAGAATTCTCCCACTGTTGTTCTGGGTGCAGCCTCCCATTCCTGGGCAAAATCACTGGGGAAGTGGTGGAAAACAAGCTCCAACATGGGGAACCTACCAACATCCTAGATGCTTGGCCAGTGGGCTTCAGGCCAAGACACAGCATGGAGACAAGCCTAGTGGCACAAACAATTATTTTCCACGGGCAACGGACAGAGGTTGCGTCTCAATGCTCATGTACTTGGCCTCTTCAGCTTATGACACAGCCGATCACGATGTACTGCAGAGCTGTTAACATGACACAGCTGGTGTAGATGCAGCACTGTGATGGTTACAGTCATTCCTCTCCAAGAGGACCCAAAGAGAAGTAATACATAACTACTTCTCTTCCCATAGAGCCCTCAGCACAGAATCCTACCGGGATTTATCTTGACCCTGATTCTTTTCAATAGCTACGTGAGACCATGTAAAGAGGCAGTGAGATGCCAAAGACACTGCTGCCAGCAAAACCTGGATGATGCACAGTTGCACATCATCTTTTCCAAAGATGCAGCCAACAGCATCTCAAGGGTATCGTCATGCCCAAAGATCAGCATTTAGATGAAAAGCAGCTGGCTCAAAGCCAATGGGGGTAAGACCGAAGGGGAAAAAGACGGAAGAACTGGTCCAGGAATTCTCCTCCCCTACCACTGTGGGCATCTGCCCCCATTCGTTAAAGTGGCTGGAAGCTTTGGGGTCCTGTTCAACTTGGCATGTGGCCTAGAAAACAAGATAACGTCAGCGATGGAAAAAGCCTTTTTTCTACCTCCAGCTTGCTCGGAAGTGCTGCCCCTTCCTCCCAGAGAAACACTCGGCAACAGCGATCCATCCAGGTGTTGGGTTAGTGTAACTAACTGTACCTGGGTTGGTAGGCGGCCACTGTGGAGGCTCCAGCCCATGCAGAATGCAGCAGCAGGATCCTCAACAGGATGGACTGCCCCCTCATTCCTGCATTCCACTCCCCTCACTGGCTCCCAGTTCAAGGTCCTAGTCCTGATTTTCAAGGCTGGCAAGACACCAGGTCCCAGCTATATCTGCAACCATATCTCCATTCATGACCCACCAGAAATGAAGTGATTCTCTAGGAAAAGTAGCTCATTAAGTCCAGGAAGAGGCATGTGAGAACCGGAGTCAAATTGCTCTTGGTCAAAGGGGTTTGGCTGTGGAAGAAGTTTGGAGAGGAAGACAGACTAATTTGGAGTCAGGGCACCCTGCAAGAGCCTCCTCTTTGACAAAGCTTTCCATTGGACTTTATCCAGCTTGGTTTAACAGTGAAATCTTCGGTGAGCTTAAACACAAAAAGGAAGCTTACAAGAAGTGGAAACATGGACAGATGACTAGGGAGGAGTATAAAAATATTGCTTGAGCATGCAGGGATGTGAGAGGTAACAAGAAGGGTTTCTACAGATATGTTAGCAACAAGAAAAAAGTCAGGGAAAGTGTGGGACCCTTAATGAATGGGGGAGGCAACCTAGTGACAGATTATGTGGAAAAAGCTGAACTACTCAATGCTTTTTTTTGCCTTGGTCTTCACAGACAAGGTCAGCTCCCAGACTGCTGCACTGGGCAGCACAGCATGGGGAGGAGATGAGCAGCCCTCAGTGGTGAAAACAGGTTAAGGACTATTTAGAAAAGTTGGACATGCACAAGTCCATGGGTCCAGATCTAATGCATCCGAGGGTTCTGAGGGAATTGGCTGATGTGATTGCAGAGCAATTGGCCATTATCTTTGAAAACTCGTGGAGATCGGGGGAGGTCCTGGATGATTGGAAAAGGCAAATATAGTGCGAATCTTTAAAAAAGGGAAGGAGGAGGACTCAGGGAACTACAGACCAGTCAGCCTCACCTCAGTCCCTGGAAAAATCATGGAGCAGGTTCTCAAGGAAACCATTTTGAAGCACTTTGAGGAGAGGAAGGTGATCAGGAACAGTCAACATGGATTCACCAAGGGCAAGTCATGCCTGACCAACTTGATTGCCTTCTATGATGAGATAACTGGCTCTGTAGATATGGGGAAAGTGGTGGACGTGATATATCTTGACTTTAGCAAAGATTTTGATATGGTCTCTCACAGTATTCTTACCAGCAAGTTAAAAAAAATATGGATTGGATGAATGACTATAAGGTGGATAGAAAGCTGGCTAGATTGTTGGGCTCAATGTCTAGTTGGCAGCTGGTATCAAGCGGACTGCCCCAGGGATCGGTCTTGGGGCCGGTTTTGTTCAACATCTTTATTAATGATCTGAATGATGGGATGGATTAAACTCTCAGAAAGTTCGCAGAGGACATAAACGAGGAAGAGGTAGATATGCTGGAGGGTAGGGATAGGGTTCAGAGTGACCTAGACAAATTGGAGGACTGGGCCAAAAGAAATCTGATGAGGTTCAACAAGGACAAGTGCAGAGTCCTCCACTTAGGACGGAAGAATCCCATGCACTGCTACAGGCTGGGTACCAACTGGCTAATCAGCAGTTCTGGAGAAAAGGACATAGGGATTACAGTGGATGAGAAGCTGGATATGAGTCAGCAGTGTGCCCTTGTTGCCAAGAGGGCCAATGGCAGATTGGGCTGTATTAGTAGGAGCATTGCCAGCAGATCGAGGCAAATGATTATTTCCCTCTATTTGGCACCGGTGAGGCCACATCTGGAGTATTGCATCCAGTTTTGGGCCCACCACTACAGAAAGGATGTGGACAAATTGGAAAGAGTCCAGCGGAGGGCAATGAAAATGATAAAGGGGCTGGGGCTCATGACTTACGAGGAGAGACTGAGGGAACTGGGCTTGTTTAGTCTACAGAAGAGAAGAGTGAGGGGGGATTTGATAGCAGCCTTCAACTACCTGAAGGGGGGTTCCAAAGAGGATGGAGCTCGGCTGTTCCCAGTGGTGGCAGATGACAGAACAAGGAGCAATGGTCTCAAGTTGCAGTGGGGGAGGTCTAGGTTGGATATTAGGAAACACTGTTTCACTAGGAGGGTGGTGAAGCACTGGAATAGGTTACCTAGGGAGGTGTGGAATCTCTATCCTTAGAGGTTTTTAAGGCCTGGCTTGACAAAGCCCTGGCTGGGATGATTGAGTTGGGGTTGGTCCTGCTTTGAGCAGGGGGTTGGACAGGATGACCTCCTGAGATCTCTTCCAACCCTAATCTTCTATGATATGCTCTGGAAGGGGTGTGTGATTGAGCAGCAAAGTGCTGACAGCATCTGCACAAGAGCCCCACAGTGGAGGCAGAGATGGAGCTGTCAAGACATAGAAAGCAATTGGGAAACTGAGGCCACAGACACTTGAGATGTCAGACCCTGTGACACCCAAAGAACAGGGGTGTCACACAACTATGGGGTCAGTGCAACTATGTTCAGAATCTCTTATGTCCTCGTTGAAGGTAAAATGGCTGGAGAAGTTTGCATGGGTGGGGGGACACCGAGACTAGTATCAGATCAGACTCCCTCTGCCCAGCTGCTTACCAGTCCCTTTGAAAAATCTCTGCTATGCCACTTCTACCTGCCAGATTCCTACCCCCAGCCTTCCTTGCCTGTCTCCCTTCTCCTCTCGCCCCTTTCTGCTGGGTTGGATCATGGCTGTAACGGCCCTGGGCTGCAAGATAACTGGGTACAACGCACCCATTGTAAAATTCAACTCACCCCTTAAATCTGGGCTGATTATGGACTAGAGATTGCCCTCGGCCCCAGATGCTCTGTGCTTCTCCGAAGGTGGATAGCAGCTGGGTAACTGCTCATCTGATGTAGTGTCTGCATAGCTGCTCCTGGCCCTGGGGAAAGGGTGAGGGCCAGGGTACCCCAGTGCTCTAGCTGCTCCTTGGGCTGCTTTACCTTACACCAAGGACCAGAATTTGGGGGTTCCAAGGATAGTCGTAGTCGTCCCCTCCCCCTGGAGCCAGGCCAAGTGCAGCTTGGGCACAGCATCTGTGCTTTATGGTTTTCCATAGACATCTGAGCCTTGTTTACAATGAGGAGCATGGGACAGACAGACAGACGTCCGGTTACCAGCAGGCACAGCTGACCATCACTTCCCCTGGCAGAAAATATGGCAGGCTCCTCACTCAGCATGATCTATCTGGGATACAGTGAAAAGTCAGCAGGCAGTACTTCTGCCCCTCCCTAGCTGTGTCCCTGCAGCACAGGCCTCAATCCTGCTTGGGATCTTGCACGGGCTGCTTAGTACTTTGCCAAGTGACTGTCCCAGGCCCCTCCATACAGCTTGAGATCCCTACATTGGGCCTCTTGTTTCTTACTCTCCTGCTTGGAGCTGGTGCCCTTTAAGTCGAGAAGCAGGACAAGACGTGGAGACAGCAAATCCATTCCTACTCTTGGTTACACCCACTGCGACCCCCCTGAAAAGAGCAGGCTGTGTAGAGGTCAGTGGGAAGAAGGTTTGGCTCAGTGTCACTAGAAAAATGAAACTTCCCCCATGTGGGGCTGGTGTCAAAGCTGTCAACAGAGCCATAGGGCACTAGCTCCAGAGCGAGACGCCCTGTCATAAGGCATTGCTACAACACTGAGGGTCCCCAAGGAGAAGGGATCTCTGGGTGAGGAGACAGAAGTAAGAGCCCTGGGGCTGCTGAGAAAAATTGAGAGTCGTGTAGCTGAGACCTGGTCTACACTAGGAAATAAAGTTGGTAGAACCACATTGCACAGGGGTTTGAAAAATCCACACCCTTGAGTGACGCAGTTAAGCCAACCTGAGCCCCGGTGTAGACGGCGTTAAGTCAATGGATTGCCTACGCCAGGGGTTCTCAAACTGGGGATTGGGACCCCTCAGGGGGTCGTGAGGTTATTACATGGGAGTTGTGAGCTGTCAGCCTCCACCCCAAACCCCGCTTTGCCTCCAGCATTTATAATGGTGTTAAATATAGAAACAAGTGTTTTTACTTTGTAAGGGGGGTCACCCTCAGAGGCTTGCTATATGAAAGGGGTCGCCAGTACAATCGTTTGAGAACCACTGACCTACGCTTTGAGCACCACAGCAGTGTTTTAAGTATAGACAAGCCCTGGGAGAAAAAACTCCAGGGGAGAGGCCAGACAGCCCAAGAAGAGCTCAGGAAGTGGAAGAGAGCCCAGGAATACTGGGAGAAACTGCCTGGAGATAAGAAGGCAGGAAGCAGATGGGTGGGAGGGGGGAATCCCAGAGGGATGCAGAGAAACTCCATTGGCCCTGGAAGTCCTCATGCGGGAGTAGTTACACCGGAGAGAAACAAGTCAGGCAGCACAAGCTGCAGGACAAAACACAAATGGTCTCCCCACCTCTCTGGGTGAACAGCTTCCTGCGGAGGGCTCTCAAGCAGCTGTGGCAGACACAGGCAGAGTGCTAAGAGCTCTCCAGACGTTTGCCCCTCCAGCGGAGCACTGATAGGCCAAAGGAATACCATGCCGGCCAGCAGCTGAGAGCCAGCGTCTCTCCACACAGCCCTACAGCAGACTATTGCTGCCCAAAATGCTGAGGTGGATCTTTGCAAAAGGCAATCCATTCCTGCCTTACGCCTCCACCTTTGCTTCCCAGAGTGCACTGTCTGTACGCTGGAAGCAGGCAGTGCAGAGCAAACCGCAGAAATTGATTCAGCACGTGGCGGCATCACCCCCTTGGTAGCCATTAGGAAAACAAAGAGCACTTACTTAGACAAACTAACCGCAACAAGAGAGAGGTGGTAGAAGAGTGGTGTGGCTTTAGCATAGGCTTGGGAGCCAGGAACTGCCAGCTCTGACACCGACTCATCACACGATCTTGGGGGTAAATCTCAGCTCTTCTCTGTGCCTAGTTTCCCAGCTGTGAAGAGGATGACACTGACACTGGGTGCTGTGTTAGTCAACATGTGTACAGTGCTTGAACGATATGTTCTGACACACTGATAAAGGGGAAAACAGGAAGCTATGACTCCAATAACTGCCCTCTCGTTGCCTGCCATCACGAGTTGAAACGAAAACACTACCAGCAAATTAGCTCCCCCATCTCCTAAAAGATGGGCTCTGGGGGAGAACCCCTGGGCTACCAGGACCAACACCTGGTCAAGAACAGCCCATAAACGGACATTGCCTTTCCTCCCAGATGGGCTGGGGATCATGTCACTGACCGCAGTCACCATTACGTAGTGCCCACTGCACAACAGCACCGCTCATGGGGTCCTTCCCTGAGCCCCAGAGGGAGTGTGTGGGAAACCAGGGAGTGTGGATTCCTTCATCTGTAATAGCTCTGGATAACTTCCTCCCCACCCCATTTCCTGCTGGCCCAGCTCTGCCCTGACCCTCTCGTGACACATGCTCATGAAAGCGGGAAATGGGTTATGCTAAGAGGCTACTTGGGGGTGCAGGGAGGTTTGGTGGCCGGGAGTGGGGGTCAAGTCCAGGAAGATGCTAACACAGGATTGTGAGATTCTGGCTGCTGAGCAGACAGGCAGTTGCTTGTCAGCGGGGAGGGGTGTGGTGGTAGCAGGAGGTCTCTGCAGCTGGGATGGGGGCTCTTGCTCTGGTTCTTATCACAGGCTTTGGATAGGCCTCTCTGCCATGATACCTGCAGGACCATTTAATGATGGCTATCATTGCGGCCAATCGGATGAAGGTCCCAGCAGACCCGGGCCTCCTGCTTCCCCGCTTGAATAGCCTTGGTTCCCTGTGTAACTCAGCATCAGGGCCATCTCGTGATGCTGCAGTGGGGGAGAAGACTACAAGCACCCCCAGCCAGAACACAAACAACTGCAGTGACATCACAAAGGCCTCTCAAGGCCAGCCAGCTAACGGTACAGGGCCTGTGCTAGCCCACCACGAACCATGTCCATCCGGGTAGCTTGGAGGGAGACCACTTGGTCTTACCAGAGTTGTTTTACCCTGTGAATCCCTCTTCCTGAGCCCCTGGACGTTCCCTCCGAGCGTGAGTTCGGCATTCTGAATGGCCTCCTTTCCTGGATGCTCTGGCCTGGGTTCAAGTCGATTGACTAACCCAGGCAGACCGCATGCCTCTTTCGGGTGGGCACACACACATGCTGCCTTCAACGACTCTGATGGAGGTAGCTTGGGTCACTCACCTTATGATGGAGGCCAGGGGCAGTCCAAAGCTGTCCTCCGAGCGGCAGGGGCTGTGAAAGCCATTCTTCCCCCTTCTCCCCCGCTCCTCTTCCCTCTCGCTCCAGAGGGCATCAGTGGCAGAGCTGGTTCCGGAATCTGGCTCCAGGTGGGCCAGAGGGGCAAAATTCTGCTCAATCAGCTTGGCGCTGTCTCGGATCTGGTCCTGTATTTCTGGGGTGAGGTTTGGGAGGTCAAAGGTGAAATAGGTACCACGGGTACGGGCTGGAGAGGAGAGGACGTCAATGGAATCTAGGCTGGTGTAGGATGTCCCCTTGGCTCGATGGGACTCCATGATGCTCTCAAAATGCTTGCTGAAAGAGTCCATCCCATCCTTGGAGAGGCTGTGTCCCAGAAGGAAGGGCACTGGTGACTTGAGCAGGCACTGTTCATCTCTGTCCACGATCCTGGCAGGAGGGGAGAGAGAAGGAACAGCTGGTCAGTGAGGAGCATAGAAGGGCGCACTCCTTGCCCTCTGCTAGCCCATTGGTTCTAAATTCATCTGCTGCTGAGACCGATAACTGGGAAGGATAGCGTCTCCTCGGAACCGATACAGGACCATAACCCACTGGGGAACCAGGTTACGGGGAAAAAGCCTGGCCAGTCAGATAGGACATTGCACACGGTGACCCACATTGGAATCTGATGGTGCTCTGGATGCACGTGCCAATTAATACAGCACAGACTTTGTTCCCCTCCAGGGGCTCATCCACAAAGACCAATGACTCCACTACTGCAGCCAGACTTGGTCTATTGGCTCAGGCAGTAACGGCTCATTCTTTTAGACACAGAGGTCCTGGGTTCAGATCCCATTGAGGACCCAGCCCTAGAATCATAGAATAACAGAGTTGGAAGGGACCTCTGGAGGCCATCTAGTCCAACCCCCTGCCTAGAGCAGGACCAATCCCTACTAAATCATCCCAGCCAGGGCTTTGTCAAGCCTGACCTTAAAAACTTCCAAGGAAGGGGATTCTACCACCTCCCTAGGTAACGCCCTGTACCCCATGATCAGATCTGTAATGGGATACAAAGCCTTTCTCCCCTAGGTCACTGGTTTGAACCCAGTCCAGATCAGAAGTGATCAAAAGTCATTACGATCTGACAGTGTGGTCTGTTAAATGACATAGATTGCAGCTAGCCAATCAAATTGAGCATAGAGCAGTAAGCAGCTTTCCAGCAAATGAACACAAATCCACTTCACTCATAAAAGTACAAACAGAATCCGAAAACCAATCTCAGCTGATATGCTGCCATCAGTTTAATAAAGTAAAGGGAAATTACTTTAGGCCATGCTGGTTTCCAATTGGCTAGAGCACAGGAAAATTTATCCAATCAGAACGCGTTCTATCCCACTGCTAGGTTATTGGGCACCACGAACACATTTTCATTCAGAAGACTTGGAAAACTCATTGTCTAAATACCTGCTGTCTCACTGACTGAATGTCATTAATTCATTAACCTGCTCAAAACACAACTCTGGTAATCTCACTAGGCCAACCTCTCCATGACTTCAGGGGGGGTTGCCTAAGCAAGCAGTAGGTAAAGAATGGAGAAACCCAACCTTAGATAGGATAGTCTCCACTTCTGTTGTGCAGCGGTACTTGGATGCTCAAATGTCGACCATGTTCCACCTCATAGGTGGCTGCGTTTCAGCGGTGGGTGAAATGACTGCTCTACGTGGTAAAAATCAGTCTGTTATATTTTATGGAGGCCTTTGTTTCCCCCAAGAAGAAAGATGCCATAGAAATGTAAATTCCCTATCATTATAATTCAGGAAGTGTACTATGAAATCAACTTAACAATGCCTGGATCATTTGTCATTAGAGTCCATCTGGAGTCCCATGTGCTGTTCCAGAGGCCGAGGATTATTGCTGTGAATGGGATGCAGCATAGGGCAGCAGCAACGGCACCAGGACAGAAGAAATATCTGTTAAGGGAGCTGGGCGGATTCTCACTGGAAAAGCAGAGGTCAGGGACGTGACCTACATCAGGTTATGAATTAACAGATGGGCTAGATGGGGATGGTTCCCACACCCTGCTGGGGATCAGAGCAGAGGGGCACCATCTCAGCAAGACATGGGGGAGAAGATGGGAGCAGAGCACAGACTGTAATCAGGCTCTTGCGCAGAAGCAAGGACAGGAAACAAACCATTTCCAGGTGCCAGTCACATGCGCTAGGGCAAGAGACCCAGAGAATCCTTTCCAGAAAGGGAAGGGATCATGGGAGAGGGGAAGGAGGTAAAGGACAGTAGGGGCAGCACTGCTTCTGGAGGGTCTTCCCTGTGCTTCTGCCTCGTTAGTGGTCCATACTGACAGATACAGGCCCACTGAACTAGCAGGATGCAAACTCTCATTGCTGTGATTGTCCCAACTATACCCACTTCAAGGTGTAATTACACAAGGGGAGAGAGCTGCGGTTTCAGCATCCCCAGCACTTTCAGCAGCATCCAGCTGGGGCCTTCCCCAGCTGCTGTGTCTCTGCACGCCCCCTTCCTGGGACAGCACACAGTCTCCAGCTGGAGTCAACTACAGACACAGAGGCAGCACACAGTCCCAGGAATGCCTCCTGCTTTGTATGCAGCTCCTCTGCTAAGACAGTCGAGGGCCTACTTCACCTTTTATTGCAGCTCTTCTCTACACCACTGTCAACGGATTTTTTTCTACAAGAGGACCCCCTCACCCCTCGCAGCCCCATCCTGCCAGAGACAGTGCTGGTTAATTCTGCCATTTAGCACCTACACCTGGAACTGACCCTTGATCCCAGGCTAATTAGGAACATATGTATTGCCACAAAAACCAGGCCTCTGGCTCATTTCTGCTACTCTACTGTAGTTTGAAGTTCCTAGCAATTATTTTTTGTAAGTAAGTCTCATCAATTTGCTGTCCTCTTCCTTTAGTAGATCTTTAATAAAAATACACAGGAGTGAACTCATTGGACTATTCACTCCCCATCATTATGGGCCAGAGAAATCAACAGGGTCACTTGCAAAATAAGGTGTAAGGTATCCAGAATCTGGCCCCGATCATCACACATACAGATTTCAATGGAAGTTAGGCACCCAAATATCCTTTAGGATCTGGGCACCTGTGACTCGGTTTCCCATCACTGGGGCTCTAATTCAGCAAAGCATTTAAGCAAATGCTTAAATCCCCTTGGAGCCAGTGTAATCACGTTTTTAGTTAAGCACATGCTTAAGTGTTTTGCAGAATCATTGCTTGCACCTGTTTTTAATTCATAGGACTTTGCCTCTCACCCAGTAGTTATTTACGGTCCTTAAAGCGAGGCATGGCATTATGGGGCTCCCTGGGTATTGGGTCTTAGTCATTTCTAGAGCAAACCTGCTCCATGTGCAAATAAAAGATGGTTTCCCCACTGACTACCAGGCCTGCAAACTCACCTGGGATCTGAGTCAAGCTGGGTCAATAATGCTGATGGTTCTGCAGGCCAAATTCTGCGCTTGGTGACACGTGTACAACCCCACATGAGGTTTGCACAGGTGCAACTGATTGGAACATAGCAAACAATTCTGAGGCACAGAGTAGAATCCAGCTCCCTCTTTTAACTGCGAGCATGCCTGCATTGCAGGCAAAGGTGTGACTGCAGCACGGAAGGGTTAGCTTTGATTTAGCTAGCTCAAATAGCAGTGAAGTCATGGTAGCTCCGGCAGCAGCATCGCTAGTTACTCCGGGTCTCTCTTTGTCGGCAGGGCTGCATCTACGCTGGGGTTTTTGTCTACATAGTGACGTTGCCACACCCCTGACCAATGTAGCTATCCCTGTTTAAGCTTTCAGTGGAGACCAGGCCTCAGGTTTGTCATTACAGTCGGCAGAGCTGAAGATCCCCCGGGAGCAGATCGGCTGAGTAAGAAGGTGCCCTTTCTCCAGTCACTTTTCCTCTCTGGTTAGCTTGTGCTTTCCTTTCCCCTTTGCTGACCGGCCTGCTCCTGGTTAGCCATGTGCTCCTGGCTCTGGCATTTGTCGTCCCCTAAGGAAAGTCCCCTCTATTGTGACAATCATTGTAACCACACAGTGCTCGCTGATGTTTGGGGGAGCATCCACCCTAACTCTCCCTTGCAGAACTACTCCAAACGCCTAAGGCCAGATTTCTTAAGGCTCCAAGAGATGCAGGTAGGTGTCTAGTAGGGTTTCTAAGAGAGCCAGGTACCTAACGCTCATTGTTTCCAATGGTAAGGTAGAGGCATTTTGAAAACCCCACTAGCTGCCCACCTGCATTTTTAGATGACTAAGAGACCTTTACAAATCCAGCCTTTAATAACTTCCATAGTGGCAGCTTCCAAAACATGCTGCTCTACAAAGCAGGCCCAGAGGGATCTCAGATTGCTCCTCTCAGTCACACCCTGCGCTTGACAGGGCAATTTAACTCTGCTGCGGCATGCTCTGTACAGCTTTTGTACCTGTCTGACTATGGGGGTTATTTATTACTGCTCTGGTTATCCCAGTACACCCCATCAGAAGGGGGCTCTCATTCCAGTGTAAATGTGCCTTATACCGGTAGAGATAATCCTCTCCCGCCATGGGAATAGAGGGGTTGTAACTACTCCAGTATAGTTAAAGCAGTACAACTTCTGTGTGCAGACAAGGCCTCATTGCACTAGCAGATCTGGCAACTGGAATCTCTTAACAGACAAGGTCTTGGTCCCCTCTCTGACTGGGAGGCCCGTCACACCCGTACAGTAGTGGTACGTTACTGGAGGGCCATGGAAGAATAAGGCAATCAGCACGGTACAGTGATATCCACATGCTAGGAGTGATAGATTGAGTTATCCATGCAAGCGAAAATTCAGCTGGGTGGTACGATTCCACTCTGGCCCAACAGGGGAGCTGTTCATTCTGGCTCCCACCACACTAGAGGAGCCATTCAACACTAGGGAACAGAGTGGGGCTGGGGCTGGAAAGAAGAGGGGACAGCTGTGTTGTGTTTTCACTGCACGATGACTAACACGTGAGCAGCCTGCTGTGATGACACAGTGAGACAAGGTACTGTAGTTTCACCACAAGATAGACTAGGTGAGCTCATCCCTGGCGGGGGTGTAGTGCTCTCCTCATCTAGTCACCTTTCAGCAAATACTACAAGTGCCTTGGCTCCACCTAGGATTTTCCTGCGAGATAACTATCCCCTAGCTGCACCACAGACTCCCTTGGCCAGGTGTTCAGCACAGTGAGGCTGCCATCCTCTGCCGGGGGCTGCTCAGTGCATGCAGAATGGCTGTCCTCCCTTACTGTGACCAGAAAGGAGATGATTCCTTGATAAGGGGAGCAGACAGCCTGCTCCTTCCTGGGATCCACCTGTGACAATGCTGCCTCACCGGAGACACAGAAATGGCAAGCCCAGAAGCCCCCTAGAATACCTCGAAGTTGCAGCCTACAGTTTGCTGTAGGACAGGTCTCCAAGTCCTCAGTCTTTGTCGGAACTGGAGTCATGGACCCTGGAGCCGCTCGCAGCTGACCACATGGGGCTCACGGCAAGCCACTGCATGTATAGCTCCTGATGAGACAAAGTGGGCCACAACTGGCTGGCTATCTTCACTGGCCCCAACAGCTCCACCCAGGATACTCTCCCAATGTGCAGTCACCAGCTAGACTCTTGTGGAAACCTCATTTTGGTAAGCTCCACTTTGGCCCGGGGGCAGGAGGGAAAGGAGAGAATCATCTCACACATCACACTCGGACACAGCCCTTATGTTTATAAGCACAGCCGCAGCAGTGGGCAGCTGCTGGCTGTGCCTGAGGCCCATTCCCCAGCTGGGGAACGGGGGGAAGTCAGTCCTGAATGCTGAAAGCCATCTGTGTGTCAAACTGGCTGGGTGATGTCACAGTCACCTGCCCTTACAGGATGGAGAGATTAAACTAGCCACAAGATAGAGAATAGTCCCTGTAAGAAGCAAGAGGTGGATCTAGGGCCTGATGCAAAGGCCATTCAGGTCAATGAGAAGTGTCCCACTGACTTCAATGGCCTTTGGGTCAGGCTCCAAGCTCTAGCCACTTCATGATTTGTCTCTCCATGCTCCCCTGGTGTGGCATTCATCCCAGCGCACCTGTCCCTTCCCTCATCCTACCATTACCCTACTCACACTATTCTCCACGCCTTGCTCTCACCCCATGCCATCCCCTCAGAAAGCATTTTGTGTCAATAAGTAATACGTGCAGGCAAACAATTATACCTGGCTTGCTCTTTGTATAGAAAACTTTCTCCATCCCAAAAAGCATAGCAATCTCATGTCCTAGCTATGCATAGAAAGTTAATCATCTACTACTGAAATGCAGTCCCTCTGGGGTAGAGAACGGCAGCTGTTGGATAACACACAGCAACACTACGCGGCCGTTTAGGACAGGTAGCAAAGGACACTAACGCCCAGCCACAGGCACCAACTTTTGTCGGCGCCGGTGGGTGCTCGCGCCCCCCTCTGCCCCCGCCCCAACTCCACCCCTCCCTGCCCCTATTGGATCCCTCTCCAAATTCCCATCCTGGCCCCGCCTCCTCCCCCAAGGGCACCACGTTCCTCCTTCTCCTCCCTCCCTCTCAGGCTTGCCGCATGAAACAGCTGTTTCGTGGAGCAAGCGCTGGGAGGGAGAAGGGAGAAGCAGGACCCAACGGCACGCTCAGGGTAGGAGGCGAAGCGAAGCGGAGGCAGAGGTGAGCTGGGGCAGGGCGGGGTGGGGAGCTGCCAGTGGATGCAGAGCACCTACCAATTTTTCCCCATGGGTGCTCCAGCCCCGGAACACCCACGGAGTCAGCGCCTATGCGCCCAGCCGAAAAAGCTCGGGGGGAATTTAGGGAGGCAGAATGTCGTTATCTTGGTTGGAATTTGACCCTTACTTGCTAGAAGGGCCTTAGGGTCTCTGATCACCCCAAGTGACCTTAGTTCTATGTCTCCAGCAGTTCCCACAGCACAGCACCTCCTGCTGACTCACCAGCATCATTGGTTTTCTTTAGCAGTTTCCCACCTGAGTGCATCACTCAATAATTCCCCTGTCCCATTCATTCCCTCTGAAGCACCTGGCATTGGCCACTGTTGGAAGACAGGACACTGGGCTAGACAGACCATTGGTCTGACCCAGTATGGCTGTTCTTATGAGTGCTGGCCAGCCCAATCCTCCTTAGCTTGTAGTACTGGACAGGACCCTAACCCAATGTGAGGATGCTCTACACAAATACACTAAATTGTACAGAACACATGTGTCTGGTTTGGGTGCTTGTCCGCAGTGTACTTGAGAGATGATGGAGAATGGAGCAGCCCACCACAATGCACCATCTCACTCCCCTTCAGCAAACCTCACCTGCCCCCGTTCTCCTGCCTCGTCGCCTCAAACACCTCGTCATCCTCATCCATCTCTTCGCCCTGCATCCCGTTCCTCAGACACTTTCCATCCTGCTCTCCCCTGTGCTGGGGAAAGGGGTCCTCTGTCACACTGTTCCTTCTCCCCAGGGTTCCTGTGACACTCGGATTGCTCTCGCTGTCCTTCTGGCTCTCGATGGCCGAATCCCCTTCGTCCTTCTCAGCCAGGATATCATCAATGTTGGTCTCGCGATAGCATCGCAGCGGCACTGAGTCCAGATCCGTCTCTGAATACTTCACCGTCCTCCTTATGATGCCGGTTTCACAGGATCCTGGCTTCTTACTACCTGCAGGAGCCATCTCTATTTCCACCTCGATGTGACACAAGCTGCGCTCCGCCATTGGCTTCTCTGGTTCTGGTGGCAGCTGGTGGCTGGGCTTCTGCAGGGGTTTTGCCAGTGACGGAGACTCAAGAGGTGTCTGGGGGGAGGTGCCTGGAACAGAGAGATCCCAGAGCGTTTACATACAAGCAGCTGTAACCTCGTTCTAAGAGCAACCCAGCTTACACTTCAAACGAGGGAGCTGCACCTGAGAAATGCAGAGGGACCCATTTTGCAACTGCGACGTATGACCACCTCCAGCAGAGTTCAGCATGGAGCGGGAGCATAACTGGGCCCAGAGAAGGTATGAATCCAGAGGAACAAAGGTAAGAAGGGAGGTACTGGGGCAGGGTCCAAAAGGAGATTCACCTCTGCCAGCGTGTCTGAGGGTTTGGGGTGGCTAGATGTATCCCAAACTGTACAGGTGGGGCCCATACCATGCTGGCCTACCCAAACTGGGTTTTTAACCCTGAAGCCCTCCTCAAACAGGAAACCAAGAGCTGCCTCCAGCCACCCAGAGTCAGCACGGATGGATTCACTGACACCACAGTGGAGCTTAGGGGTTTGGACAAACAGACTCGGATGGCAGCAGAGCTGCTAGCCTCAGAGGGACGAGGGCCTGGCCATTTCGAGCCTGGATTTTATTAGATAGGCCCAAGCTACAGAATTTGCATCCAGCCTTTCCAAACATAAGGCTCGGGGAAGGAGGGCTTGGTTCTGGGGTGGGTTCAGTTGGACCAGGACAAAGAAAAGGCCAGCCAGAGTATTTGGATCTGGATTTAGCAAGCAGATGTCGGTCGCAGTAGAAGGCGAGGCTGTCCCTCATCCCCACCCCCTAATCGTGAGGGACCCGTTACCTGTCCCTGGAGAGTCCAACGAGCCATAGAAGAATTCCCACTTGGCCTTGGCAATGCGCTGGGCATGGGCTGAGCTCTCCCGGGAATACGCCCATGAGCCCCCCTGCAGGAATGAAAGAGCATGTCAGCTGGGAGCCTCCCGGGGGTGGGGTGGGGGCAGGGAGGAAGGACAGGGGCGGGGAAGCAGGTATGTGGCCTCTGAAGGTGAGGCCCGGCTCTCCCTCAGAGACACACTGGGCAGTACCTGGTCGTGGGGCTCCATGCCCAAGGGGTTGCGCAGGAGCGCCGAGATGTGCTCAGATGGTGTCCCCAGCCCATTGGAGAGGGAGCTGAAGAGGCAGTTGGTGTTCAGAGCATGGGGGTGCCCTGCTGCCCTTCCGTTGCCAGTACTCAGAGAGGGCTGCTTGCCCACAGGAGAGCGGCTACCGGCCAGGAACGGATCCGAGGCAGAGACCTCCAGCTTCAGCTTCCGACTGAGGTGCTCCTGGAATGGGCTGTTCTGGGCTGGCGGGGTGCATGTGCTGCCAGGATGCCCGCTCACAGAGCCACATGTGGGCGGCCGGGCTGTCAGCCACAGGCTCTCGCTTATGCCCTGCCTGCTGCCTGGGGAAGGCTGGCTTTGCATGGTGGGGCAGGAGCTCCCCTCTTTGCTGGAACCGCAGTGGACGGTCTCCCCGAACTCCAAGCTGCGGCTCAGGCCGTGGGGGCTTGGCCCATTCTCCCTCCTGGGCTCGCCCGATGGGAGGCCATTGAGGGTTTTCACGCTGGCCTTTTCAATAAAGCGGAACGTCACCACGGAGCTCTGTCCCTCGGGCGCCGGGGCCACCAGTGGGCTGCGGCTGCCCGGGGAGGACAGCAAGGAGTTTTGCCTGCTTCTCAGCGGGGTGCACGGTGCTGTCACCCGCCCAGAGCTTGGGCAGTTGCCATTGCCAAAGGGGCCAGCTTCTGGTGCCTTGCGGATTAAGGAGCCGGTGCTGTTATACATGCCCAGCTGACACCGCCAGGCCTCAGGAGCCAGGCTCTTGCGCAGTAAATGGATCCTGCCCGTGCTGAGATTGGGCGTGAGGCAGCGGTGCGGGCTGGAGGCAGCGGACTCCATGCTCTTGGCGGTGGGCAGCCAGGGCCTCCGATCCAGGTTGCGGGTGAACTTCGTGGGCGACACAGTGCAGTCTCCTTCGGGGCAGAAGCGCATGACTCCCCCTGCCTGGGCCATCGCGTGGGAGGAATCAGGTTTGAAGCCAAAAGGGGCAGGGCAGGGAGGAGGAGCTTTTCCAACACCCGTGAGCTGAGAGCTCCGCCAGAGGGCGACGCATCCTTACGCGGCCCTGAAACAAAGGAAAAAACAGCAAGTTAGGGTGAAAATACAATCAGAGATACAGGAAAGGGAGAGATATGGACCGGACCAAGGCCCAGCACTATCCTAAGCCACCAAGGCTCCCTGGCTCCCCTCACAGGGATCGCACTGGTATATAAAGGCAGAATTTGGCTCAGCTGGAGTACGAAGAGAGAGAGAGAAAACAGGGCTACAGTCTCAGAACTGGCCACCTAAATGGAATAACGAGGCAGGGCTTGAAGTGGCCTGAAAAAAGTGGGGGGCGGAAGAGGGAGAATCTGTCCTGTTCTATAAATTAAAGTAACATCACACCTACCTGACTGTCCCCCTGCCCCCATCAATTTTGGCCCCAAGTCTGTTCTGCCCTCCCAGCCCCATCTCTGCTCCTCCAGCATCTCTGGGGCTGTTCTCCCCATCACCCAGGCCTGGGGGAGCTGCAGGGAAGCTGCTTCTCCCACTCCCGCAGGCTGGGTGTTGCAGAGGAAAGGCGGGAGCAGCAGAAGCACCACCTGGTTACTCCCAGGAGCAAGGGGGAAGCTGGGAGCGGAGCCACCTTGAGAGGCCGGACTCCTGTGAGAATGTGGCCGGCTCCCAAGGTCAGAGTTCCATCTGCCTGCTGGAGGAGCCCCGATTGGCTGCTCTTCCCCGGGGGGCGGGGGGAAGCAGCCAATCAGAGGGGATTTTCCCCAGGCAAAGCTGACATCTGCACCCCTCAGCAACACAGTTGGAGTTGTAGGCATTTCTTTTGCCTGCTGGGTATCCCCTCTCGACCAGGCACACTTTAAGCCCAGCAACTAGGAGCCTGTCTCATTCTAATGCACGACTTGCATGAGCAGAGAGCCACCGAGGTGAGCAATGACCTCATCTGCATGCACAACAGAGCTGGGCAGCCCTGAAAATCTGAGGGAGAGTTGAAAGAAGCAGAGAGGACGTGTGCATGCACGGGTGTGTGTGCGTGAGCAGCCCCAAGAGGAGAATTTGGCCCTTTGTATATAAGACAGACAGTGTGAAAGAGAGAGAGAGAGAGGTGGGCATGTGGCTTGATCATCCCATTCAGTGCCAGTGTACTTGGCCCTGGGAATCTGCCCCCAAGGCCAGCAGTGGGATGCTGTCCCAGTACCCCAGGCGGAGAGCATAGGCCAGGGAGGTTAGTAGTTCTCTCCCAGCCCCTCCCTTCAGTGCAGGAACAAGACTGCCACAGGACTCTGCATCCTTTACAGGAAAGGAGTCGTAAGCCCCAGCCCTGCTCTTCCGGCATTCACCACCACCTGCGGAGCAGGGAGCCAATTAGCATTCAGCAAGGACTGAGGTACAGCCAGAAAGTCTGAGCTCTCCTCCCCTCTCCATCTCTCTTCCAAAGTTGGTAAGAGCAAGATGGGCACCATGACAAAACAGGCAGCTTGTTTCAAGGCAATGGATGCCTGATGCCGCTGACATCTCCCCTTTCTGCTGGTCTCGAGCCTGTCTATTATTGTTGTCACTTATTTCTGTTGTTGTTATGCCACCATGCTTCCAGAACACCCAGCACTACCCCAGGATCTGACTCTGATCCGGCTCTGCCCATTCCTAGGACTCAACCAGGCCACAGTTCCTGACGGCATGCCACAGGCTTGCCCTTCCCAAGGCATCTGGTGACCTAGATAAGTGTCCCTCCATTCAGGTAATCCCATGCACAATCCACTACTTCACCTATCGCAGTCCAAACTGGGAGGAACTCTCCTAGGAAACAAAGCAGACATAAGAAACCAGCTTGCAGACATCTCACACCGACACACTGCACAGGACCTTTCCCTGGGCACGGGGCAGGGACAGGCAGCACAAAGCAACACAAATTAAATCGACGATGATCAGCGCAAGGGCTGCCAACAGACAATACACAACCTCTTCAGAGATGGAACACCCAATATAGCCTGTGATATCTGATACTGTAAGCCCAGTGCTAGCCCACCTCATCTCCCCGGGATACTTGGTGCATCGCAGACCCAGACAGGACAAGACAGCAGGAGGCTCTCCATTAGTCTTCCCTGCAAATTTCAAATCCAGGAGAGATCCCTCAGGTAAGACAAGTTCATTCAAGTTCACTTGTCTGACAATAGAAAGCAGAGCCAAAGCGAACAGATTTTATGCACGGACTAAAGGATTTATCTAGCAGCTCATGGATGGCTTGTTGGCAACGGTGATGAAATACCCCGGGCTTGTCATCCTGGGATATTTTAGCAGGAATGCTGAGAAGCCCAAAACCTCAACTCCCCACGCGCCTCCCTAGGCCTCTCTTTGGTCATCTCTGGGTTCCACCGGCACAGCCAGCCACACCCTGGACTTGATCTTTGGCCTAGAGGGCAATACTGAGGCCATCACAATCCAGCTGCTGTCTTGGACAGATCATCACATTGCTTAGCCAGTTCCCAGGCAACAAAAGAGATCCGGGAACCTGAGGCCATCATGTGAACTCCTAGACTCCGCCAAATTCCAAAGCCTGCTTAAGGACAGTGGCACAGGGAGAGAAGCCATGGGTCTGGTGAATCACTGTCATTGATGAAAAGAGATGGGTGGGAAATTCAGTGCCAGTAGCAGAACCTGAAGGCTGATACAGACAGGAGGAAATATAATACATTCCTCCAAGATACACTGAAGCTGTATTATAAGACAAGAGAACCTTCCTATCAGCTGCCACATCCCACCCCAAATCAGAACGGACAGTGACTGGGTTACATTAATACCTTAAGCCCATATAGTCCATCTAAATGAATACAACAGCACTCGTCAATGGAAGGCCTTAACCTGCACTCCCCATTGTAGCACATTTTGGGGGGTTTCTTCCACACTTCTTGATGTTGAATGGCCAGAACATGTTAGGAGAGTGTGTGTGGCGGGGGTGTGGGGGTGTGTGTGTGTGGAGCATACGTGAGTTTGAAAGAGATTTCAAAATAGGCTGCCTTTTGGCACAGATGGTAAATTCTGGTAGTGCAGATTTCTGGGCCCCTGCATGTACTAAAGCCCCAGGGCCGGCCTTTGGGGTGGACGGTCCGGGCAGCGGCCCAGAGCACCCCGCCAAAGAGGGTGCCATGTGAAGGGTTTGCCTGAGTCCCACCTGACCTGCCAAGAGCCAGCTGGGCTGGTGGAGGTGGCAGGCAAGCAGCAGTGTCTGGAGAGGGCAGAGGGACCCAAGCCGCAGGGGAGAAGTTGAACGACCATCCAAGTGACTATTCCGGAGCAGGGGTGCCCCCCCCACCCCCCCACTCCACTGCTGTGTGCAGCCGCCACTGCTCCTGTCCCCCACACCCATTCTTCCCATGGAGCCCCCCCGGCCATTCTGGACTGGGAGTGTCCTGTCTGCTGTGCGGGGTGGGGGGGGAGGGGAAGGAAGGTTGATGTTGGGGTGTCCCCCCCTCCACCTGTGTAGCCAGTCTCCGCTGAGCTGACAGGACAGAGGGAATCTCTGGGTCCGGAGCTAGCGTCTGAACAAGCCTTCAGGCGCCTGATCCTGAGTGCTTTCTTAAAGAGACAGTGCACTCATACACTCACTCAGGTGCACGCACACACACACACACAGTCACACACTCCCCTCCACGCACACGCACACTCCCTCTCTCACACACTCCCCCAAGCACCAACACACATGCCGTCTCTCACATACTCACAATCTGTCACAAACATGCTCTCTCTTTTGTGCTCTCTCTCTCTCTCACACACACACACAGTTCCCCCAACACACACAACACCAAATGCTTCACGCACCCCTAGGGGCTGTGAGGGGGGGGAGCGAGGAGCGATGTCAGGGCTCCCCTGCATCCAGGTCACTTTCCCCACCTAGGCTGTGCTGTGAGGCATCAGGAGCTGTGCCTCTCCTGCCCTCTCCTTACGCAGCCCAGGTGGGGAAAGTGACCTGGATACAGGAAGCCCTGACATCGCTCCCCCCTCACAGCTCCCTAGGGGTGCGCGGGGCAGAGAAACAGCAGTTGGGGGGGGGCAAGCTGCAATGCCAGCTGCTCCATGCATCCAGGTCAGTTTCCCCACATGGGCACAGGAGGGGGGGTGCAGGGGTTGGGGGGGGAAGGGGGCACAGTGCAGGGGTTGGGGCACAGGAGGGGGCAGGGATTGTGGTGAAGGGGGCACAATGCAGGGATTAAGGACACAGGAGGGGGGCAGGGGTTAGGAGTGAAGGGATGTAGGGATATGGGGTGCAGGAGGGGAGTGCAGGGATTAGGGGTGAAGGGGGCACAGTATAGGAGTTAGGGGTGAAGGGAGGGTGAGGAGCCTGGGGAGCCTATAGGGGCCAGGGGCAATGGGGAGCACCATGCCCACAAGGGCTAGGCGCACCAAAATGCAAGTTCACCCAGGGTGCCATTTTCCCTAAGGCTGGAAGGTTCTGACAGCCTGCACTATCTGCTCTACAATAGCTTTGAGGAGTCTAAGACCAGAAGTGACCATTGTGATCTTCTAGTCTGACCTCCTGTATAGCACAGGCCAGAGAACTTCCCCAAAATAGTTCCTAGAGCAGAGCTTTTAATAAAACAGCCAGTCTTGATTTAGACATTGTCAGTGATGAAGAATCCATCACAACCTTTGGTAAGTTGTTCCAACAGTTAATTGCTCTCACTGTTAAAAAGAATGTTACACCTCATTTCCAGTCTGAATTTGTCTAGCTTCAACTTCCAGCCATTGGATCATGTTAGACCTTTCTCTGCTAGGTTGAAGAGCCTGTTATTAAATATTTGCTCCCCATGTAGATATTTCTAGATTGTAATCAGATCACCCCTTAACTTTCTATTAAACCAAACAGATTGAGCTCCTTGAGTCGATCATTATAAGGCAAGTTTTCTAATTCTTAAACATTCCCATGGCTCTTCCCCGAATCCTCTCCCAAGTTTTCACCATCCTTCTTGAATTGTGGACACCAGAACTGGACACAGGATGGGTCGCACCAGTGCTAAATACAGAGAGGTTAAATAATCTCTCTGCTCCTACTCAAGAGAATGATCATGGAGGCTTCGTCTGAGACCAGTCATAAGAACTGTCTATGTATAGAAGTGAGGAGACATTAGAAAGGGGACAGGGACCAATTACTCTCTAGTCAAGATGAACAGAGCAATAGATATCAGGCTAGAAGTAATAGGCTCCAGCTGAACCTGAAAAGTTCTGGTGAGCGAGCAAGCGTGTTTATGGATCCAGTTTGTCCCTGGGGTAATTCCACTGATGTTACAGAAGGAATCAAGCTGGGCCTACTGTAACTCTACACAGAGCTCAGCTATAGAACAAGCTGCTAGGGAGGGAATCATGATAATTGGTGGACCCCCATCTATATAGATGAGACTCAAGATAAGGAACCCAATTCCACTGAGGTGCTGGGGGACAAATTAGATCTAACTCACTCAATTCTGTGGTCTGAAGATGCCTGGGAAGCTCACAAAATGTGTTGCCAATGTCAGCTACAAGAGCAGTCTATGGGCTTGTCAACCCATGCAGTTATTCTGAAATAGCAAGCCCTCGTATTCGATTGACTTTTCAAACTGCCCAGTCAAGCTGTGAACCAACATCCTTCTAGCTCAAAGGGACACTGCAATAAATAGCAACCACCTTTCTATTGAATGTACAGATCATTATGTTGTTTGCCTCCATCCTAAAAACATTCCAGTTAAGTGGATTTATTGGTTAGGAAGGACCCATTTTATTGTGTTGGGGGATGCATGGTGATATCCACATCCCTCTCATTGTTACTATAATCCATCTCTTCTCCAACTCTCCCGGCCCCCTCAGGCCTGCTGATTTAAATATGTTGGACATGGACCAGGACCAGGACCACGAGTGTCATATGTTAAATAATAAAGGAAACAGGGACAATGGGAGGAAATGGCTCATTCTACAACGAAAGCCCATTTAAAAGAACCCCGTGCCTCATTAAAAGACTACTGAGATGTTACCTACAGGCCACAGGGCAACAAAAGGCATACAATGCACACCAGAAAGACAAAGAAAGAAACCAGCATACAGGAATGCTACCTACAGACACTACCTGACACAGCATACTGATGGAAGACAGCAAAACAACCTGGGACATTACCTTCAGGACATAGCAACTGGCCAATACGCATTGGGAAGACAGAGAACCCACCAACCTATGAACTTCTAGTCAAGCTATGGAGAACAAGCAGGTATCTTTTCTAAAGGGCTTTTAAGAAGACCTGCTTAGATTACACAACAGTAGGCTTAGAAAAATCTAAGATTACTAGAAGATGCCGGATGGAAGCTTCCCCTTCTTTGTACAATACAGTTGCTTTCTTGACAGAGAACTGATTGATTCTGTACCCAGTTCCTTACTACCCCCCCAGCCATGAGAGCTTGTAGAATTGGCCTTTGGATATTACTCACTGGCTGTGGGCAGCAGGCACTCGTGGACAGAGATTTCTGACAGGAGGGATAGCCACACAACAGACAGCTGTAGCTCACGAAAGCTCATGCTCAAATAAATTGGTTAGTCTCTAAGGTGCCACAAGTACTCCTTTTCTTTTTGCGAATACAGACTAACACGGCTGTTCCTCTGAAACAACAGACAGGATGGTGTTTTCAGAAATTCAGAAGGGATCCCAGGGACTCGCGGGCAGTGTGCATCCCACATAGTCTCACACCAAGGAGGTACAGGACGCCCTGCTAACACGAGGTGCATCAAAACAGGGAAATGACTCTGAAACAGGCGGGGGGATTGAAAAGAGAGCACAGTTACAAGCGCACAGAGTGCTCACATTGGAAGGCATATTAAGGACCCTAATGAAGGGCCAAAACGCCCCAATTCCTTCATGTTCTTTTCCTTTAAGCAGGGGTAGAGGATCCCGAAGTAGGCCAGCTCTGGCCTCCTATGGCCCATTGGGTAGCGCCTGCACTCTACCTTAGTTCTCAAATTCAATTCCTTCTGCACAAATTTCAAACAACTGTAGTGTTCTCAAGCAGCAAGGACCTGAAACTCCACATCCAAGGCTCCTGGATTCAAAGGCACTCCAGGCTGGCTGACTGGAGTTTCTTGGGCAGCTTCAGAACAATTAAAGTCTGAAGGCTTTCACTGAATTAAAGAAGGAAGCAAATAATACTATCAGGACAGAATTCCTTGTGTGATTTCATCCGTTATTACATGCAATTCATTTTACCTGAATTTTCAATGTGCTGCAGAGTTCAGTTCCAGCAATGCCTAAGCACATCATACTGGTTGCCCTGGGGGAAGCTGGAAGTTTGAGTAGTTAGGCAGGGGGTTGATGGGGGTTTGGGTGCATGTGGAGGGCAGCAGGAAGTTTCCGCTAAGGTGAACAGCAGTGAAGTAGTTAATGTTGATATTTAAGTTGTCACCATTACGTTTCAAAGTTAACCCCTCACTAGGATGCACAGGGCAGTTTGCCCATTGCTCTCTGAGCTATTGTTTCAGGCTCTTTGCAAACTCAAGCAGGTGCCACCGTATCAGTTTACCCTGGGCTCACATCAGGAAGGTTTTCTTTCCCCAAAAGAGGTTTTGTTTTGTTTTGTTTTGAAATAAGAGATTAGCGTACACTGCCCAGGTCTGCAGCAAACCCTGCTACTACCGAAAGGCCTGCCAACATGCTGTAGCTCTTGAGCAAGGTGTCCATTGCCTCAGCTCATCCTGACTCCAACACCCATGATGACGGGAGCTTTACTGATCAGTGCTAGAGCCGCATCCTGTCGAGGAGGAGGCCAATTACCCTCAAGCCACTGTGCTAGCCAAGGCATTTATTCCCAGCATCCTAGGCCCATGGCAGATCCTGTCCTATCACCCCCCAAGACATGCATTGCCTTTATCTCAAGTGTTGCAATAGGTGTACATTCTTGATCATCAAGTGTTCTTGGCCCCCACCAAATCTATACCCTTTACTCATGCCTTTTATGCCCAGGAAATCCATGGCAGCTGCTTCCAAGAGTCCCAGGCCTCCATTATGGCTAGGCCCTTTGCTCCCAGTCCCCCTATTTGGTCCAGAGTCACTGATTTCAAGTGCTTTAGGCTCTAAGCACATTCAGGCTGCAACTCCTGGGCTGGGACCCCTAATCCCCCATCACATTCTTCTGAGCACCCTACACTTGTGCAACCCACAGAATTGTAATCCCCAAAGTCTCCAAACCCCATCCCTTCCAAGGCGATTGCCCTCACATACCCCAGCTCTGTCAAGTCCAGGCTCATATTCCAGAATGGGATGCAGGAGGTGGAAACACAGATACCAGGTGAGCGCGTACAGAAGTGCAGCGTGGAGGTACAGAACGTGGGAGGTGGAGAAGAGTGCTGGGGGGTGCGATACACAGGTGCAGTGTAGAAGACAGGGTGCCCTCATGTATAAGAGGGAATGTGGTACTTGGCTATGGGACGTAGGAGGTGGAGAGCATGGGGTTTTAGAGGCGCCAGGCGAGGGAATATCTGAAGGCAGTGGGTGTGCAGGCGGCTGCTCTGAGGGGGCAGGGATGGGAGCTTGGAGTGGAGTTTTAAAGGGCGTTCCAGCCTCTGAAGGAGTTGAGGAGTGGGTGTGGCATGGGGCTTTGAGAGGCACCTGCTGGGGGTATGTCTGCAGGATGCAGGACATGCAGGCACTGGGTATGCCTGTCCCTAAAGTCTGATTTCTTCACAAGGTTGGATGGAGGTGGGCATGCCAGTTCCCATCCTGGGCAGAGACTGTGCTGAGAACTGCTCCTGCTAGATCCTCCGACTCCCCTCATCCTGAATCCCGCTCCGCCATCCCACCCCCTAGGCTCAGCCAGACAAGGCTCTCAGTCCTCCCAATCCCTCCAGCCAGCCACACCGGCCTCCCTCACCCTCTGCCTGGCCTCCTCTCAGCTCACCAAGGATCAGCTCTGAGTGGAAGTGACATCCATCCAGCTCAGCAGGGAGCAAGTTCCCAGAGAATTCAGGACACAGACTGTAAACAAACTGCCTTCCCTACACCCCACCTCTCCCCGAGAGGCATCAGGGCAAGAGCTCCCTGGAGTCACGCGGGGAGGGAACTGGGCAACAAACATCAACAGCTCATTATTCTACTTGACCGAAAAGAAGAAAGGGAGCCTCACCGCTCCTGCTGAATGCTGCTGGGAGACACTGGGACTGGGGAAGCTGTGCGCTCCCCCAGCAAGTGTCCCTATACCTTTCCCTGCAGCGCCTCTTGCTGGTGGGGACTGGAGTAGCGGGGGAGTCTCCGAAGATTGTCCCCGCAGCACCTGCTGTTGCTGGCAGATGGTTGAGAGGGAGAGAGCAGCCCCGCGTCAGCTTCCCTATGCCCAGGGCTCCTGCACCATTCCCTGCAGCTGGGAGCCGCCCGCGTGGGTTAGCATCCAGCTCCCTCGTAGTGTCCACAGGCAGCTCCTCTCGGCTCCCCGGATCTGGATTCAGCGGCATGCCCAGCCGATGGAGAGGCGAATGCGGACGTGCCGCACACACACACGCGCGGCGCTGATGCACACCCCAGCCTGGACAGGGCAAACTTCAGCGCTCCGAGTCCTCCATAGCCCGGGCCAGAAGGGATCTGACCCCCGGCCCCCAAACCGGCAGCGCCCCCCCCCCCATATCCCGTGCGGTAACCACGGCAGCCGATCCTCCGCTGCAGGCTCACGCACAAAGCCCAGCTTAAGAAAAAGCAAAGGGGCGGGGGGCATCCCCCCTGTTCCCCGGGCACCCCGGGTGCGAACTTGCAGGGCTCCAGCATCGCCCCCGGCCGGCGCAAGGCGGACAAGGCTGCGCGCGTCTCCGGCGCTCCCCTAGTGCCGGCTAATCACCGGCTGCCTTGACAGCACGAACCCGCCGCCCGCCCTGCCCCGCCGCGGCACCTTCCCCCGCCGGGCCGATCGCAGCCCCGGGCGGGCGCGTGCGGGGAGTGCAGGGCCCCTGCTTACCCGAGCCGGGCTCGCTCCTGCATCCTCCTTCCAGCCCGGAGGCGGCTCCCCCCGGGCGCAGGTGGGTGTCGGGGTGGTTCGCCCTCCCCTGGCCAGCCCGGGCCGCGGGCGGCGATTCCCCGCTGCCGGTCCTGCGCTCTGCCAGCGGAGCGACCCCCGTCGCTGCCACTCCGGCGCGTCCGCCCCAGCTGTCGCTCTGCGGCCCGACACCGCCGGCAGCCAATCGGGGCTCGGCTCCGGGCTCGCCGCGCCGCTCAGCGGGGATTGGGCGGGTGGGCAGGCACCGGCCCGGTGAGCGGCGGGCTGGGAGCAGCCGAGGAGCTGGGCTGGGGAGGGGCTCGGTGGGCAACGGGTGGGGCTGGAAACAAGGATCCTTCTGTGCTGGTGCATGGGGCAGCCTCTCCCTAGGGAACAGGGTCCCTCCGAGTGTCAGTGTCTGGCTCACACACACACTGTCCCTAGGGAATAGGGTCTCTCTGGGTGTCAGTGTGTGGCTCACACACACACTGTCCCTAGGGAACAAGGTCCCTCTGGATGTCATTGTCTCTCTCAGACACACACTGTCCCGAGGGACCAGGGTCCCCTGGGTATCAGTGTCTCTCTCAGACACACGCTGTCCCTAGGGATCAGGGTCCCTCAGGGTGTCAATGTCTCTCTCTCTCTCACACACACTCCCTAGGGAACAGGGTCTCTCTCTCTCTCCCGCCCTTCCAGGGAACAGTCTCCCTCACTCTCTCTCCTCCTCCTCCCTCCCTCCTCTCCTCCCCCCCCCCCCCCCCGAACAAGGTCTTTCCCAGTTTCAGTGTCTCTCACACACACTCTTCCTAGAGAATAGGGTCTCTCTGGGTGTCTCTCTCACACACAAACTCCCTAGGAAACAGGGTCTCTCTGGGTGTCAGTGCATCTCTCTCACACACTCTCCCTAGGGAACAATCTCTCTGGGTGTCTCACACACACTCCAGGGTACGGGTTCCTGTGTGCGCCTGTTTCGCACTCCCACTTGTTAAGGAACAGGTTCTCTCTCTGTTTCACACAAATGCTGTCTAAGGACAGTTTCTCTCTTGCAGTCTCTGTGAAACAGATTTGCTCTCTGTTGCATCCACCCTCAGGGAGCCAGACAATCTGTCTTTAGAATGGGACCTTGAGTGTCTGTCAGAGAAAAGGGAAGTTTTGGGCCCAAGTTTTCCAGCCACTTGCACCCATTGATGTCAACGAACGGGATGATGGGGGTCCTGAGCATGTCTTTTCCTGGGACTGAATGATTCACTCTTTCTAGAGGCCAGGATCTTAGTCTTGTTCTGCCATGGAATGATCTCTCCAGAATGGGAAGTCCTCCTGTTGGGGTCATAGAGAAGTTGGCTACAGTGCCCAGATATGGTCTTTTTCCTCATGGCCAATTCTGATTACTGGATCAGGCTAAGCTGGCTGTTTTGAAATCCCATAAGGAAATCCCAGTGCATTGGGAAGGGCGTGATTGGCTTGGGGGTCTCCATGTGCTGATAGTGGCTAGGCCGTGAACCAATCATGCAGCATGTAAAATGATTGCTAATCTGGACGTATTTCAGGCAGCTGGGTGTATTAATGACATTCTGCATGATGGGGGTGGTGGCAGCACATTAGGGATCCATATGCAATCCCTGCTGAAGGGTTTACTTATCTATCTCTTCGCACACACATCGGCCTAGTGCGTAGTTGTTATAATGCCTCTTGATGGGGATCATGTTCCATGCATGATGCTTGCTTAAATTAGGGTGTTTTTCACATTGTACACTCTCTAGGATGCGACCATTTCTCCCTCTCTCTTGTAGAAAATGGTGCCACCTGGGGCCCATCCTGGACCCCCTCTCATGGGATGATCTAGGGTTTTTCCTCTCTAGACTGGGGCGATCCCTCAGTCGCTCTCTCTAGAATAAAGGTGTCATGTTTTGCTCTCTTGAAAGCGGGGTCTATCTCTCAATCAGTTGCTGTCCCTAGCAGCTTGAAATCTCTGTCTCTTGCCACTCTCTGGGGACTGGGATATGTCCCTGGAGGTTGGAGGGCGAAGGGAGGTCTCTCTTTGGTAAGGAATAATTCCCCTGCAGAGTGTCTCCCTGTCAGTGCATTAGTGTGTAGGGGGAGAATACAATCTTTCTCGTGAGGCTCTGGCCAGTCAGATCAATTCTTAATTAAACTGTGCTTTATTGCACAACCCCAGAAATCAATATTAAATCTGTGCAGGGGGAGGGGCCGGGGAGAGCCGGCTGCCAGTGCCTAGGTAATCCTTTAAGAAGGAAGTCAGGAACGCCTTCCTCTTCCACTTCCCATTGCCTCCTCTGCTTGAGTTCAGCCGAGCCCCACATTCCCCCTAGCCCAGCTGGCTCCTAGGAAGGCAGGCATGGCTTCACCTCCCAGGAAGTATGGAGAGTAAGGAAGGTGACAGGCTGAGATGCATCTGCCTATATGTGATACACCATTTTCTCTCCTTTTCTCCAGCCTCCTGTATGGGGATCAAAGCTCCCCCTTGTGTCTGGGACCACGTCTCCCTGAACTGCCCGGTGCTCACAGATCTCACATCAAACCCTGGTGACTTTGGCTAATTAGCAGGCCTGGTTTCCCCAGGATCAACAGCCTGAATCCTTCAGCTGCTTCCCAGCTGGAGGGAGGGTGGGGGAAAGGAGGGGCTTTTCATTAATCTGCTGTGGAGCCTGAGCGACAAGCTTAACCAAATGGAAGAGTTGAGTGGTACCATGACTCAAATCAGGGGAAAGTGCAGGCCCACTCCCTCTGATCAAAGCTGCAAGACACACAAAGAAAGGAGAGTGGCAGGGGTGTGTGTGTGCATGCGCACACACTCACACAACATACATGGAGCTGGCTTGCCTGACCCTTCTCTCCCGGACCCCGCGGTAAGTACTGTAAACACAATGGAATGCAGGTTCCCTTCTCAATCATTCAGGTTCTCCAATAAAGAACCAGCTGGAAAACAAAGTTGATTTTCCCCCAATTTCTTGCTGCTCCAGCTCTGCCCCCAGTCTGTATGACACCAGAGCAACATCCCCCCTCCCCCCACACACACACTGACCAGGATTTGCCTCCATCAATCATTACTGTCCCTGGAGTTCATGCCCTTTCCTGCTCCCTCCTGGGCAGCTCCTTCATTTTCAGGAGTAAATCCCCTCCTCCCCTGGCCAGCAGAGTGTATGGGAGCAGGATAAAACTCTCCATCGCTGGCAGGCCTTTTTTAGACGGGAAGGGGGTGGTGGTAAATCCCTCTGGCAGACAGTGGGGAAGAGAGGACAAAGTCTTTCATCCCTGGCTGATCCAGTCCCAGGATCCCTTTGCCCTTAGCCCGAGGATCTCCGCTGCACACCCCTCCCCCCCCCCCCCCCCCCCGGGATGTAGCTGCCTCTCTCTTTTCTCTTACTTGACTATATTTCCCTCTTCTTCAGGGGCCATGACAGAGACACCCATATCTATCCCCCTGCCTCCTCCTGTGCTGCTCCTGCCTGCCCACCCACTACCGAACCATCAGCCTTCAGCCTTTCATCTACCTCTGAAAGAGGCCATCTCCCTGAAAGGTCACCCAACGTCAAACCCTCCAAACCAGCAGCACTTCTCCTTCCCCAACCCTTCTGCACATCATGTGACCAATACACCTGACACAAGGAGCAAAGCAACGGGGAAAAAATCAAGCTTATTCTCTTTAATATAAACCCCCCAAAACCAAAACCCAAACAAACCCGAGACACTTCCAAACAACCTTAACTCTGACCCTATTTCACCTTGCCCATATTTTGTGTAATACAGCTGTTGAACAATTTGATAATAATTTCCAGGACTCCAAGGCTTTATTCTTGGCTCTGCCATTGTCCTAAGTGTAATGTTGGGAAGTCACTTAAGGTCAGCTTTTTTAAAAGTAGCTTCTAATTTTGAGTGCCCAACTTCAGACACTTAGGCTCAGATTTTCAAAGGTATTTAGGCACCTAACTACCCTGGATCTCAATGGAAGTTACTTCTTAGGAGCTGAATTGGCCCACTGGAGCCAAACCCCCTTTGAATTCTGACTAGGTTTAGATCAAGTTCTAGATCCAGGCCTCAGCCTTTGTGTTTAGCTCTGGTTGGAAGGGTGCTGTCTTCTAACTGCCATCTCTTTGTGAACAGCTGTGTTTTGTGAGTCAGATTAAACCTTCATGCAGCCGAAATGGCATGCAGAATAGATTTGCTTGGAGGAAGGTAGTGGCGCCAAGAAGGAGGATCAAAATGTGGCTTAGAAAGAAAAGCCAGTGACAACTTTAACTAGAGAGCTGTGGTTGCCACTCTGTAATAGCCAGCTAAAAACGTTCCTTTGCTCAATTTAATCTCATTTCCCCTCAGGGCCGGCTCTACCGTTTTTATTGCCCCAAGCAGCGTGCCGAAATGCCGCCGCCGTGAGCGGCTGAAGAGATAGCAACTGCTGCTGAATTGTCGCCGCCGCGAGCGGCTGAAGCCAGAGGCTGCCGCAGAATTGCCGCCACTGCGGAAACGCCCTAACGGCACACGGACTCCCGCCCCTTGCAGATTGCCGCCCCAAACACCTGCTTGGAACGCTGGTGCCTGGAGCCGGCCCTGTTTCCCCTAATCACCTCCACTAACTGAATCCTCTTCCTCCTTGTTATTCAGCCCCTTTCAGGCCTTACACACGGTTATCATGTCCTTCTTACTCATAGCTCTGCCAAACCACATGCAATCCCTTCTCTCTCTTTCTCAGCCAGTCTCTTAAGCCCCGTTGCACGTTTGTTCTTTTCAGAACTCTCCGCAATTTATCTATATCTTTCCAGTACTGAGGAGCCTAGAATATCCCAAGTGCAGTCTCACCTGAGTCATATAGGGGATAACCAGGGCTGGCCCACAACATGTTGGCACCTGAGGTGGGGAGCTCAAATGATGCCCCCAAGCCCCCTCGCTTGGGCCAAAACATTGAAAGGTGTCATTTCTGCCTTCTTCCTGTTCTATTCCTCTCATGGTACTGCTCTGCTACCTACCCCAATAAAGGAGAACTAACAACTTAAAATGCCTTGTTCAAAAATTTTAAGTAACACTTAACTTTCAGACGCCTGAACAGCAAATGTAACTTTTCTTGTCTGCATAGGAAAGACTGGCATTTTTATCTGTTTGAATAATTAAAGTGGTGCTTTCCGTGCCTTCTTGG